GAGAGTTGGTGGCGACGGATGATTGGAAAGAGCTGTCACACTCTGGAGCATCATCCTGCTACTGGCGTATAACTGCGGTGAGCTAATTGGACACACCTCATTGAAAGAGGACTTCAAAAAAACAACAAATGGAAATAAGGAAAGAGAATCAGAAAAAAAATCAAAATAGCATGTACAGCGGGCCAAAAAACGACACTATTTCTCCTTGACTCTTAAGGCTATATAAGTTACACTTTATTAAATTCTGATTGGACATTTTCACCATCAAATTCAACAACACATTGTACACTATCACGAAACTCCGCCACAGCCTTCTGAACGAACGCCATTGAAAGATTCTGCCACGCGACACACTCGGACATTCCGTCTTCTTTAGGTTCTACGCCCTTCGATTCCAAGTAGGCGAGAGTTTTTCCAACGCCCTTCGATTCCGTGTGGAGGCACCCAATCCTGTAGCAGTACGAAGTTTCCAAGATGGTACAGGCGACGACATGAAGGCAGGATATTCTCCTCGAGTTGGTCGATGTAACCGTCAGCGTTCACTTTCAGTCCGGGGTCCACGAAAAAATATCGGTCTTCCATTCCAGGAACTTCCGGTCCATACCATCAACCCGCGCCTTGGCGACTGCGGTGAAGATGATATCCTGGACCGTAGCGACGTTGTCGGAGCTGCTCGATGTTGGAGGTCTTCCAGATCAAGAGTGCTGGTCCCCAGGTAGCTGTCCATGGGTGACTCCATACAAGAAGTTTCGCAGCTGTTTGGAGGTGACGTGAATTCCATAGCCTTCTTCAGTTCGGCTGCGATTACAGATGACTTCATATTTTGGTGTACATGAAGGTGATGGAAAGAGAGCCTGCTTCTGCTCATCGAGGAAAATCTTCGGTATCTTTCGCCCTGGTACTCGTATCCACGCCTTCTGTAAATCAGAGCCTAGTATCGTTGTGAGAACTCCATCAGAGGTTGTATTTGGTCGTGCGGGAGGAGGGAGGGGGTCGTATTTCTCCTGGAAATAAACTTTTTCCAAATAAGCAGAAACAAATTTCCCAGCAATTTTTTCACGATTCTCCCCCGTTTTTACGGTCGCTAGAGTATCTGCCTGGTTGCGCGGTGTGAACCAATCACTTTACCTTAGTACACACCGCCCTTTCTCCCATCCTGTCGCTAGCCGCCAAATCCCCGTGAGTAGAACTGCAATTTTTTTTTAAAAATTGGGCGAAGAGCCTAAGAGATCAAGGAAGATGGTAAATAATAGAGAAGTGCGGGTCATACCGAAGAAAAAAAATTGGAAAGGCTGTTGTGCTGATATCTCTATTCGCCCAAAAGGCGCATAGCTTATTATTCTCCTTAGAACTCCACCCATTTCTCCGCCCATCCATTCGTCACGGAACGTGTCTTTAGGTCTAGCGAAATCTTGCATAAAATTCACAGCACTAGACAATGCTCTTTTGTTCAAATTAGTACGTTTGCATATCTGCTCGTCTTCAGAATCCCGGTGATCGTATCCGATTCGAATTAACCAACGTCTTCTTCAAATGTGCTCCGACATGCGAAGAATTTGTGGAGGTATGTGGAAGGAACAACATTATTGCTACCGTACTGCCATACCCAAATTAGGGGAGGCACTTTTGAGGATCTTCTGTTTCAAGATAAAATTTGCGCGGACACACGATCGCACAGGACTTCGTGAGTGTTGTCGTGCCGAGTATGGGGAGGTCGTGTCGCAAGGAGATTCCATACTTGTTATAACACTGGCCACTACGAGCTCACAGTTCAATCTCCGTTATCGACTAGGTCAGTGATTTTGTCAACCTTCCAATGTCCCTATTGATGCGTGGGTGCAGGTGTAGCCCAGGTTCCTTGCTCTTTGGGGGGACGACGTATCCCATAATATGTTAATGACGAGAACAATTAATTTGTAAATTTGCTGAGGACATCACAAGACACGTCATTTACATA